TTGCTTTACTATGTGAGAAAGGGTGGGTGGGTGGAGGGGATGCATGTATTAATCTCCTACTCTGTGCCAAGTAGGATCCATGACCTGTATTTCTAGAGTAAGGGCTTTACCTAAAGGGCAACAAAAGATTTTTTTTAAAACTTAATACTGTATGCAGCATTTTAGAATCTTGGAAAAATGTCATCTTGAAAGGAGAGAAAGTAAAAAGGAGAAAAAATGTAAAGAAAAAATATAAATAATTATTTTTTTTTAGCTTAAACATATAAACTTTAAGAGATGTAAGCCATGTAAAGTAGGTATAGTTTACAAGGGACCCAGCAGTCTCTCTTTCCCAGGTCAGTAAAAACAACCAGGCACATTCAGAAATGAGAAAATGCAGGGCCATTGAATTTTTATTAAACATTAGAATTTATTAAATAATACACTTCAACTTTTGACAAGTTAGTGGTCCAGGGGATGAAGAACCAGAGTTTTCATTGACTAAATATGTTATTTTAAAAATCCTGCTTTTCGCACTAGTGCCTGCCAAAGACAAATGTCCCCATGAACACATTTAGCTTGTTTTTAGTCTTCCGTTTGCATGACTTCAGACAGGGCTGGGTCCGGGGAGTCAGACTTCCCCGAAAGTTCAGCCTCCCTACCCCTCCTGTTAGGACTCAAGGCCAAGTGGAGCCGCCTTCCCCACTGGAACTTGGAAGCCTGTTGCTCGGAAAGAAAACCTGCAGAGGACGAGGCGGTGGAGGGGAACCTCAGGGCACCTGGCACCAGGGCCAAATCCAGTTTGGTCCCCAGGGAGTCTGCACGTACTGAGGACTCAGGACTTGGGGGTTTCATTTTTACTTTAATTCGAAGTTGTTCAGAGGTGACCGAGAGGTGGATGGATGCTAATGGCTTACACACACGCGAACACAAATCTATTTCATGTATTTCCTCAAGATGCTGAGCTGTATACAAGAGAGACACGCACTGACGCGGAGGGAAGAGCCAGAGGATGCTTCGCAGAGAGCAACCGTGGCCCCAGCAAAGAGCGCTCCCTGAATTAATCCGAGTCTCTAGGAGCGCAGC